CAAACAAATTTGTGAATAACCATGCGAATCAACGCGGTGCACTCAATGTCTTTATCACCTAATCAATGTGCCGGTGAACCACACACGCTCCATTGATCTATGACAAACATCGAGTCACCCTTCGCTACCAATGTCATCCCCAAATTGATGTGCCGGTTAACCACACGCGCTCCATCAACGTTTGACAAGGGTACGAAGTGTAATTCCATGGATTAGCATCATTTTCACATTTTACCCTAAAGTAACTAAGAGTGGGAATTTGTAAAACAATGTAGTTACTTTAATATTTCCATTATACTTTTAATGAGGAATTAAGTGCCCTATCCTATCCGTTCGGCTAACGACCCTCCACCAGTCAAGCAAGCGGTAGATGTGAGTGTACATCCATTAAGCGCCATTTTATAGGCAGCAACCTTATACCCACCTTATAGACTCGCTTCGTGAATGAGGCCTACTAGCGATAAGACTAGCTTATTCTTATACATATATAATAATTAATCTTATAATATCATAATTGTATAAGGGTGTATTTTAAAACATTTCAAAAATACTAGTATCTTAATGTGTATTTAAAATTTTCGGAATTAAGGCTATTTAATTTAAAATTTTAAACACCAAAAAATCTTTGATTTAATAATTATCAAAATCAAACAATTAATTTGAAGTATTAAATCTTTAGGGATTATCATAAAATTAAACTATTAATTTATTTAATCCTTTTATTTTAAATATATGGAAAGGATAATACAAGATCTTCAATTATCTAGTTTAAACAATTAAATTGATAATCACAAAGATAGTATTATCCATATCCCTAAAAACTTGGGATCTTATCTTGGGGACAAGGGATTTTCGAAATCCTTGGGTTTCATAACCCTAATTTCGAAATTTGGAGGCTAGGCAAAAAGGTTTCAAGAACCCTATCAAAAAATCGCCAACTAGGGTTTGGCAACCCTAATTTGCGAAAATCACCAAGCCTTAGGGTTTACTTGCCATAAACCCTAATTTGTCAAGTTCATAATATGCATCAAATCCAATTGAAAACAAAAAACCAATGGCTTGATACCACTGTTAGGTTTTTACAAACAATCCTATGTGTGCATACAACCTAGTTTGGATCTATGTTTTCACTATAAGACATACAACTATATGAACACAAAATAAACCTTGGCATGCTTCTATGATTTTCGAAATTTACATAGAAGTGTGGAAAAACATACCTTTGTTGTTATATAGCAATAACAACTAGTTTCCTTGATCTCTTGAACTCTCTTGAACTCTTGAAAGCAAGCACCACAATTGTAGTGCCTCTAATGGCTCACAAACACCTTGAAGCAAGAAGGCAACTAAGAGAGAGGAGGGAATGAAGCTAATTTCGGCCCTAGGGTTCCCTTGGAATCAAGTGGCCTTAAATTGAAGCATAGGGCATGTATTTATACTATAGGGTGCTAGGGTTTCAGTCAAAACCCTAATGGACAGCTTAGCCACCAAGCAGCCCAAGAACCTTCTGGAATGAGGCCTTGGACGAAAATATGATGATCCTTCATCATAATTTCGTTCCCCCTTAGTCCATTAGGTTTACTAGCCCAAAACTCAACTATCACACAATTGACAGTTTATACCCCTTTATTTAATTTGTCTCTTTTAGTCACCAAATTAATTCCTAATTAATTTATGACTAATACTAATCAAATAAATATGATTTCTCCTTTAATATATTATTCTTATAATATATTAATAAATCATAATATCTCCTCTCTCATATCAAATTACCTTGTCAAGTTGCTTTGGTGAAGGCAACCCAAAAGGACCATGCACACTCGGGACAAGTATATACCAAATATGGTTACTGACTTAGACATTAATCCAACATACTTCTCTTATCTATGTTTTTTCTTCAATTGCCTATTTGATTCGAAACTCACCCAAATATATTTATAGTTGTTTAAGCAAAAGCTTGATTTGAAATTGTGAATTCAAAGTTCAAACATACAAATCTTGTTATCTAATGATATTGCCTATACTAACAAACAAAATGATCTTATAAAATTAACGATTTCCAAAATACTTGTCATGGAACAACATTGACAACATGCACCAAACTAATGCTAGGCTAAAGAAAGCTAAATGAAGATGATATAACAAAAACATACCCAAAATTAACTTCAAGGCTAATAATCATAGAGAATCCTCAGCATCTTCATCTTCAGGTGCTCACAGGAGTTGTGTCACACCCCGAAACCGAAACAACAGAAACATTCGGGGGTGGATGATGTCATTTGTAGTATCACAATCATTGCATCATAGTAATCATAGTAAACACAACCATTACATTGATAATATATGAAAAAGAGTTTACATCTTTTTTATTCTAGTTTTTATACATCAAAAGTATAATCAAAAGAAAAAGACGTGACTCTAAACGCTCTATCTTCTCAAAACTTCAGGAGGTACCTATCTACTAATTCCCTGAGAATACAAGCAGTTTTGAAAGAGTATCAGTATAAAGCTGGTGAGTGCATAAGTGATATTTTTGTAATGAAAACATGTTGATGAATCCATGAATTTGTTTGTATGTTTCTAAGAAAATATAATATTTTCTTTAGTAAAAGCATGATAATACCAGTTCCTTCTATCACCACTTAGTTCATACTAGTCATGTATAAACCAATATCGAACAGACAGTAGATTATGTGGATCTACCCTAAGCTCACAACCAAACAATGAACAGGGCATGAGGCGGAAATCACATACTCCACGACCTATCTAGTATTGTTCATACGTAACCCTAGTGCATAAACTAAGGGGTTATAGAACTAATTGTGAATGTTTGTTGTTGTATCTTTTGTAGTATAAGAAACATGATAGTTTGTATGTTTGGTTACTACTAGTATGTATGGTACATTCTGTTGGAAAACCCTAGCTACTACCAATATGTAAAGTCTGTTCTGTTTGAAAACCCTGGTTACCATCAGTATGTAAAGTATGTTATGTTTGAAAACCCTAGCTACTGCCAGTATGTAAAGCCTGTTTTGTTTGAAAAACCCTGGCTACCGCCAGTATGTAATGTCTGTTCTGTTTAAAAAACCCTGGCTACTGCCAGTATGTATAATAGTTTTATTACTTAAAATAAAATCATGTATTATATCCCTGGAAACCTTCTAGTGTAATGTATAATATTTTTATTATTGAAAATAAAAATAACGAATAATGAAATCCCGTAAACAAAGGTTAGTTTATACTTATTGTGAGTCGTATAACCATGCTTGATATGACCTAGTGACCTTTTCGATGTTCTTCAACTATCGGATAAATCACATTTATCACGCAAGGCATATATGTCTTCCTAACTGTAGCTAGTAGTTCAGGTGTGAGATTATCAGTCCCGGATAGATTTATTCACAAATCTCATGCTCTCACTACAGGACACTTTGGTTATACTATGATAGGATTTAATTCAGTACACCTAAGGGTACAATTTTGAAGTAGTGTCTCACAATCCTGTATAATCTAGTTTACGTGTAGTTATGTATTGTTATCGTGTATTTAAATTTGTTGAATACTGTATAAGGTAATAGTTATACTTAAATAATTATTAAATGTTGTATTCTTGTAGTAATGTATATCATAAACTAAATCTGTCATAGTTTATATGTTTACTCGTGTATGAACTCTGAATCGGTAAAAGCTATATATTGAATTTCCGAAACTATGCCCATTATAGTTTGATTGAAACGTTTTGTACCTGATTTGTAAACTGTTCTGAAAACTATGCAATTATGTTTTCAAGTTGAAAGTGTCCCTTATGCTCAATGTAGTACAAAAGGGATAAAACATCTAAATATTTTATAAAACGTGAGAATCGTTTGTCTGTATCAATTGCATAAGTTTTAAACTTGTTAAAATTCTTTAGGTTCACAAAATCATTTTTGTTTGGCTTATATTCCCCCTGAAAACGTTTAAAAACCATAAAAGTGTAGGGGTATGAACTCACAGTTTTTCGTGTGAAAACGTTGAACTGGAAGATCCACGAGTTGTTGTATGTGGAACTTAATCCTAATATCAAATAAATACATATATGTATCTAAATTAGCGATTTTGTGAGATAAAGTGTTAGAAAAACACTTGCTTTCGGTTAAGGAATGTTACCGGGACTTGATTGAATCGAGAAAGTGGGTTTTCAATCCGATGCACCACTCAGGAAAATGTGTACTGCCGTGAACGGGGCGTATGGCCGTGAACGCGGTGTACGGCCATGAACGGGGTGTACGACCATGAACCACCTCTTTGAAGGGTGTACGGCCTTTGAAGGTTTGCAGCGTGTACGGTCGTACACTCAACAACAAGGGGTGATGGAATCGATGAAAAACGTGTTCTAGATGCTCCAAAACCACTCCTAATGGCGATTCTCGATGATTTTCGGAAGAAAAGAGGTGTTTTTAGTGAGTACGGTCAGAATTTATAGAGAGAGAATGAGAGAGTTTTCGGCCAAGAGTGTTTAAATGAGGGTGGGGTCCTATATTTATAGGCTGGGGGTATGGTCTGACACCAACCGTAAACGGGTGTGCGGCCGTACACGGGTGTGTGGCCATAAACAGGTGTGCGTTCGTACACTCACTTAGGCCGAAAACTATTTTTTTTCAAGGATTTCGGGTTTTCGCGTGATTTGGTTCCTACTTGCTTATATAAATTTAATTATATAAAACTAGATGACACCCTAAACGATGAAGTTTTGATTGAAACTTAATAAAATTCAAATTTTATTAATGGAATTTGGATAACGGAAACGAAAAATGGTTCGGGTTGTCATAAGATGGCCCAGTAGCACCACCTGGGCGGGGTGCTTGACCAGGTTTGGGGAGATCATCCTGCAACACATTTTCAGTATATGAATGAGAATTGTTATACTATAGACTATTTGTGAATACCCTTGGACGAGAGAATGTCTTTGGAGCTTCACGGTTCCTCCTTTCAACCCTTGAGCGAACTCTAACAACCTTCTAGGGAATTGCACAAGAAACATAGTACTGCATCTTCAGGTACAGTTTTGGAAGAGTGTATTCTAAAACAAAAGAGTAATCAACTAAGCATAACGATAAACATATACAGCAATGATATTGAATGACTACAACACTTACGTTCAAAAGCACAAGCTTCTTGATCATCTCTAACTGCAGCTTGGTCAACTATGTTCCTCACAAGAAATCGCTTGATAACCTTATCCTGATATCAACAGTTGGAAGTCATAAAAGATTATTAATTGATTCACAATATGATTACCGGTATACATATTATCATACGATCAAAAGTTGAATAAAATTATACGAAAATAAATTCGATTTCAATAACTACAAAACAAAAATGACAAAAAGATAAGAAATAGAAAAAGAGAAATGATAGGATGATACCTTTGGACAACATTTACCACAATCGGAGTATCGATTAAACTTAACATGGCCACGATCATGCTTGTTACGTCCTCCGTTTCTTCTCTTAAAAGTTTGGAAATATATTCAGTGAAACGATCAATATACTGAAAATTGAGAGCCATGTATCGACAAAGGTGATATACACGAACGATAACCTCGAGAACAAACCATAATGCAAACCATGTTCGGGTGTTGCAAGTCTAGAAGGGTTCTACTGCCTGATCTGGATCTTCAGCAGGCCCCGCCTAGCATCGGACCCCAACCGGTATTCATATCATATACCGCACATGCAAGAGTCACACATACAACTAACATCCTAATCATAATAAATGATGAGCCGACATTGGTGCCTTCGAACCGCTAAGTATTCGGAGGAGACTCACCACAAGCTACTGAAACAACCCGATAAATGCTCGGACATCTGATTCGGGAAACCTCCACACTAAATATCATCAAATAAGACCCTAATTAATAATTAGTTCATAAATCATAACTAGTGTAACACTCTGATCGTGGAGGTATTTATTTCTTTAATATTTTCTTTGGTTGAAGGTCACGACGTGAACATAGTGGTCACGCCCTGAATGCCCATTGACTTGTTGACCCGTGATTTTGACTCTCAAGAGACCTCAGACTTTGAATGCTCATGACGTGAGATTGGAGTGATGATCAAACCTTAATATTTTGATATTTTATGGAAAGAGAGGGCTAGGGTTACCCATCCTTAGCCTCTTTCATTGTTTTGCCTCTTGAAAACCCTAATCTCAACCCTCTTGAAATCCTTTGACATTTTTGAGATCTTTAAAGCATTTTGTAAAACCCTGTTCCGAATCGTTTCTTTTGTGGTGGTAGTGACCCGATAACCGAGTATCATCAGGCTTAGGGCCTCTGAGAAAAGAGATTTAGACCCATTTGGGTGTGGGTAATGTAATTTGGATAATCCGGGAGTTTGGTATGTGTTTTGGCGCCAAGGGGTATTTTGGTAAAGTGTCAGTTCAGTATTTTATGAATTTTGGACTTTTTTTTTGAAAATTTAGAGGCACGTATGAGTTGATAAATATGTAGAGCTTCTCGTTACCTTTCTGTGGATATAAAGAACGTCAAAATCGGAGTTACAACGGAAAAGTTATGCCTGTTTGAAGTTTGGTTAGTTTTTGGTTATGTTGAGTACGTCGGGCGTACGTTGGGTATACTGAGGCACCCTACGTACCTTGGGCGTACTAGAAGTATGTTGTGACTTATAGACTAGATCTTGTTTGTTGCGACCATTCTAATGGATAAATTTAGAAACTTTATCCATTATAAAACTATTATGAACTATAAAAATGTGATATTGGCCCTTCTATCCCTTTCATTTAAGAGTTGTGATGTCTTCTTGGGTTAAGAACTTAGGGTTTTGGACATTAAGCACTTTATAACCATGCAAAGTCATAAATTTGGAAACTTTATGACTCAGGACATCATTTTGGGCTTGGATCTGATTTTTGGATGTAAGAACTTAATGGAATAAGTTCTTAATGGAGTTTTCAGACTGGGTTGCGTACGCTCGGTGTACCTGGTGGTACGTTGCACACACGCAGTCAACTGCACGCTTTTTGTCAACATCAAAGTATGCTGGGCATACTCCGTTGGGAAGAGATATTGAATTTTGGACCTTGACTAACAGACTTTGACTTTCTCCAAGTTTGACCAAGTTGGATCTTGAGGGTATTTTGGGAGTTTGATTGTGTTTGGTGTTTTGGTTGGAGTAGGTGTTGCTTTGAGATTTGAGATTCGGATTTAGGACCTCATCAAATTTTTTCCGGTATGCGAGGTGAATTTTCCTCACTGCACTTTTGGGTCAAAGGCTCCAAGGTCGGCGTATTGTATTATTATCCTGGTTTATCGGATGTTTGTATGTTGTAGCGATCTGTTAGATCTATATGCTTGTATGTATCATGGTGCTATGTTGTATTCATCTGTTAGATTTGTATCCTCGTATGTAGGATGGTTCTATGCTTAGTGATCTGTTAGATCTTCATGTTATCTGTTGTTTGCTATATGTTTACCGGTTGCATATGTTGACGTAATGTGGTTGGGTTGAGATTGTATTGCTTTATGCTTCCAGTCAACAAACCCAATAATGTTTATATCGGTAATTTATATGTAAGCTTATGTATTGTGTATATGTTGACACAGTTTATTTGTGGTTAGGTTGATGCGGAACAGTATAGACTGAAGGCCAAGAGACCCAGGGCGTCCCAGATAGACTACAGGCCTGAAGGGCGTATCAGTCAGGCCGAAGGCTCGTAGAACGTTCAAGATAGGATGAAGGCTCGATGAGGCGTAACATTCATGTTGAAGGTTTTGTGAGCGTACCAGATAGACTACAGTCCGATATGGCATTCCAGAAAGGATGAAGGCTCTGTGAGCATACCATATGGATTGTAGGCCAGTGCAGCATTACAGTCAGGATGAAGGCTAGGTATGCATGTTGTTTTTTGCTAGGTTATCTGTTTGTGTGGTTGTATTTTGGGGGAACTCACTAAGCTTCGTTCTTACAGTTTTGTTTATGGTTTCAGGTACCTTAGTGGACAGTGGCTGGGCGAAGGCGTGACTACTAAATGGATCTTAGGAGACTCTAATTTTAAATAATGTTTTGGAAATAATAGTTTGTAAAAACTTTTATTAATAAATGGGTTTCTTTTGAAAGGTTTAAATTTGTTGAAATTTTTGGGTTGTTACAAGTTGGTATTAGAGCCTTGGTTTGAGTGAATTATAGGAACACTCATGTGAATCCAGTCTCAAACTAAGGAAATAAAAAGGTTTCTAAAAAATGATTTTCAAAATTGTTTTCAAAATAATCAAGAAAGGATGTGATGTGTACGATCAGCCAGAGCCAGTAAGTAGACACCAAATTACCACACTTTTATTTCAAAATAAAAAGGTCCTGGATCGGTCGCAGGCGGAGTGTGCATCTCCAAGGTCGACGAGGCCGATACCAAGGAGCGAGAGGGAGGATAGAACAGGTTTCATTGGTCTCAGTGGGTGCAGCGATGGAGTGGAATGCGAGGCCGAAAAAGGGGTTCGGTAGAAGCATGTCAAGCAGCGCCTCCAGCTTCTGGTGAGGTCTCCGGTAGCAGTCCTCAACATGCGACGGATGTTTTGCTCCAGTAAGACTTGGTGGGTGGATCGGGGTAGCCCCCTGTTGCTTCCGGTTCTTCTTCTTATTTTATTTTTTATTTTATTATTTTTTTTTTTTACAGAAATCAATATGCGTTTGGCTTGGGGCTGCTGCCTCGATGATTTACCGGAGCACCACAGTGCTTGGTTGATCGAAGGAGGTAGAAAACAGTGATTTGGGGGTGTTTGGTTTGTTTTATTTGACAGGGAAAAGAACGAGGGATGTTGTGATGATTAAACTCCATGACATAACTCTAAGGTGGGTTTGTTTTTTCTGTGATTTCTTTGTTCAAAAGAGATTGAATGGCAGATTATAAGAGTATAACAATACTTGTATAAATTATTTATGGATGTGTCGAAGGTATGACTGGATGATTATTTGAAGAAGAGAAAGGATTTGAGGGGGCTGTTCACTGACTTCTTCAATTGAGAAGAACACTTTTCCTTCTTATATGGTTTTGTATAAAAAGAATTTTGTGTATGGTTTCGTATAAAAAGATGTTTACTTTGTGTGTAAAATTGGGTATGTTAGCATTGATAGATGTCCATTTGTGTATGTATGAATCCTTGAAGGATTTTTGGAGAGTACAAACTCTATTGCTTTATATGTGTATTTTGTGGGCTGTGTGTGTATTTTTCTATACATTGTTGGTCCTATGAAGAATGTACTTACACTTGTATATGTTTTTAGGTATTTTGGTGACAATCTCATATACATAAAATGTAATTGTATAGTTGTTATTTGATGCCCATTTAACAATATAATATATGTGTATCATTTTATGGGTTAAATGGACCATATGAATAAGATTTGAGCTTTATATAAATAATAACCCAAAGTTTTTATCATATTTGTTTTATTATTAAGCTGAGGAAATCATCTATGACAATATATATATATATATATATATATATATATATATATATATATATATATATATATATATATTCTTGTATATAATATTACTGAAATGACACACTTATTATTACATATATATTATAGTTAATTTATGTTCAATAGACACATGTATATAGTATATTTTATGAAAACTATAGGAAATTCTTATAACTATTCGTAACTAATGTTCTGTGCATAAATGTATATACTTGAACACGAATTTAGAAATATAGGGTTACTTCCATCCTTAAAATTCATGTCAACCAGATTTGGATTCTTATATTTTGCCGTAATACAATAACAATAATATAAATTATGACGAAATCAATAGTTTAATATTTCGCGATCAATAAATCTGAAAACGTCCGACTTTTTTTTTCAATTTTTATGAATATTTTTACTAAAAATATTTCAAGTATAAAATTAAATATTAGACTATGATCTTAGTCCAAAAATGTTCTCGAAATTTCCATCTGGAGTTTGGAAGTTCCTCAACGAATAGTAACAGTTTTAGCAGTTTTAAGAAAATCAGTATTATACTGGTTTCGATTCTTAAAATGGTCGTATCTTTTGCATACGAACTCCGTTTTGGACGTTCCTTATATTTTCGGAAACACGTACTATGAGACTAGAGTTTTTGTATTACTCGCAACTACTTAATATGAAATTTCTGTTTTTTAGACGCATTAACTAAGGTTGCAGTTTGAGCTGGTTGATTCGTTTACCTGTTTACACATTTGGAGGTAAGATACCATCTGATATCTTATAATAGTTGAAATGAACTCATTTATTTCACATAAGATGCACTAAACCTCAATGCGTCAAATTACCAAGAGGTTTTGTGAACTTGACTGTTCATAGTCTTTGACCTAAACTATGGGATGTCATAAAATACAACCCCTACGGCACTCGACTAGATGATAACTAGTATACCAATACTATAAGATCCTATCATATAAAGATATATACAAAGATCTAGCATATAACTATAGGATAGAAACATCCTGTATACCAGGATACAAATTTGACAGATCACCACAACATATGTAACACCCCAAAAAT